ATCTCCTATACTTTCTATCAGGTTGCATTTTTTAAAATGCTATTCACAACCACTAAATTGAATTTACTGTTCACTAATGTGCTGCATCCCACCATTTAAAAAATGCTGTTCTGGAACACACTTCTAATTCTCCCTGAAAGCCCAAGTGACTCCTAAGAGGCCCACAGTCATACCACAAATGGGCTTCTGTGACATCTCTACAATACCAGGAAATATGTGATATCTACAGGTTTTTAAAATTAGTTCTTAAAGACAATAAGGAACACTTATGAACACTAGAATAAGAAATCAGCTTTTGTTTTGCCAAAAATCTGAGAAGAAAACGCAAAGCTTCTCATGGACAGAAAATTGAATTCATGAGAGTTAGGAACTCTAAATATGTCTTTTAAATATGGAAAGCAATTTTTCAAACATTTCCTTTACGTTGAAATCCACTTTCTTAAGTATAAAATCCTTCTTTGTAATCATTGCTATGTTGCATCATGGCATGGAGGCAGAAGAGTCTTCCAGAAGCATCTGACTCTAAGTTGGAGCCAGGCCCATGAGCATTACAAAGGACTGTCCATTGTATTTATTCTCCAACATCTTTCCAGCAACTGTAATATATTCAGTATTTTCCTCTACAGCAATTAGAGAAACTCCAGGGAATCATGCAGAGAGGGTAGCTGTTGCTATGTTTTTGTGTGTTTTGCCAAGAGGCAGGGTAAACAACTGAGCTAAGAGGAATTCAGAAGTCTACATTGAGGAGGGTTATACAACATCCTGGGCAGGAACCTCTCCTTCCCTGCCTATCCTCACCACCTCACAGCCCCAGGGCCTCCCCACCAGCTGGCTAGTCTCAGGTTATACAATTACAAAATCATATGTGTATTCAGTAATTTGTAAACCCCTGGGGGGAGGCCTTAATTTCCACTTTATGAGTCATAGATTCTTCAACCTCTTGGTTCCATGTCCTGAGAGCAATGGTTGGAAGCAACCTCCGAGTTGAATTCAGATTATTCTTGCCACTTTAGTCATTGATTTAAGAAATTCTTAACCCATTGAGGACTTCCTGTGTGCCAGACAATGTGTCATTGTGTTTTCACACCAACCCAGTGAAAGAAATACTTGTTTTGTCCCCATTCTGTAGAGGAAGAAATCCAAGGCTCAGAGAATTGAAGCAACTTGCTCCAGGCTTCTCATTTATAATTCGCAGAGCTATAATTCAGCGTCAGGCTTTCTGATCCAGAGTTGGCATTCTTAGCCAATGTGGTACTCGGTATTGGCTTTTGGAGTAATATGTAACTAGGAGGGTTTGATTGGTCACGGGCATTTAAAAAAAAAATTCACATCCACACAGTGGAATTTTCTTCCTGGTCTTACTCCAAAGTCCATCACACCTGAGTGTGTATAATTCTCAGAGTGACTATTTGGTGAGCGGGTAGACCCTATGTGGTTGTTTAAAGGAGGAAGCAGCTTCTCATAAGGGAGCCCTTGTTTTTGCAATGAAATTGTTTATTGTTTATATGTTGAACATTACGCTGTGCTGGTGGGCACAACCACTGCCGCTTGGTATTTTTTTTATTATTATTTATGTATTGTTACTGAAGTGTCAATGTTTTACATCTTTGGTAGTGTTTTGACAGGATAGGATTTCCACTGCCATTTCAATTGATTCCTAGTCCTGACGATAATGACTGGGGTTAAGCCAGTTCAGTGGATGTCTGCTTTCCCCAGGGCTCATGAACGCCTTCTCTAGGGAACCCAGCTTTCTGGTAACGAGACGTTAACTAACAAGGCTGCTGGATTCCATGCATGTTGGTAAATAGTAGTCCTCAGCTTGAAATGAAGGAAATCAAGGAAAAGATAAAAAAAAAGGATCTTTGGCCACACAGGAAATCACCCTGATTTGGTCATCTGAACCCTAAGAATGACTGATGGGGATGGGGGCATTTCTGTTGGTTGAAAAGTTAGGCAATCAAGGGTTCGAGGGATGGTAGGGAAAAAAATCCATCAATTATGTTTAAGTCAAAGAACTCTTGTTTGCCTCTCAGTAGCCTATTACTTAAATCTAAACATTTGTATTCCTAAAACATATGTTCATTGTAAATGTCTCAAACAATCCAACCCAGAGAAATATGGAGTAAAAAGTGACAGCCCTCACCTTCTCCCTCTTCCATTCTGAACACGCTCCTTGTGTATCCTTCCAAATTTCAAGAATAAGCCAGTTGTAAAGAAATAATTTGACTATAATAGAACAGTCAACTTGCCGGTTATAACTAGTGTTAACTTAGTGATTCAGAAGATCCTTTGGGTTTCTTCTCATCAAGGGTGTTGGTGGTTATATGCAGATATGGGGTTTCTGTGTTCTTGGATCCTGGTAAGTAGAAGCTTAAGAGAAAGTTGTAGATAATCCCCTTTTTTTGCCCCCCAGGAAGGTGTGGGCTTGCTGGGAGCACAGTTGATAACCCTTTTACCAGAAACAGAGATATCAGAGGGCATAGTCTTATGAACACAAGCCTTAAGGAAACACTAAAAAACAATGGTTTGAAACTTAAAAGATTGAGAATTACTTTATGTTCTATGAAATAATTATCAGGCCATTTTTACTCTGAAGTCTGCGTAACTTTGTATTTCACAAGTGTATACTTTATGTGCGTCTACATATATAGTACTTTATATGTATGTATAATTTAAAAATATGTATTTATAGATAAAATGCATATATATATTTTTTTTAAGCAAGAGTAGCTTCCATTTATAAACTCAACAGGAAACAGTCTCCTTTATTTTGAGGGAAAAATCACTGGAGTAGTTTTCTTAAGACAACTCAGGCATCCTGTGTCCTGAGAGAGGAAGTACTAGGAAGGACTTCATTTTTCTTAAGTTTGGTAAGACCCATTCTCCAAATTCCTCTTGATGGAACTGGGTAGAACTCTGGGGGTATGTGGGATCAATTTGATAAAGAATCTAGGAACCTTCCAGAAAGGAAGGAATTGAGATCACCCAAGACCAACATTTCTCCCCTAGATTCCTAGTTATAACCACCCATGGGAGGGCCCTTCTACCGGACCATGGGACTCTTCAGAAACTAATTCAGGAAGGCGAGTTTGCTGCTTTGTCCTTTGTTTCAAATTCCACAAAGGCAACTCTGTTTGGATTTCTAGTAGACTTGTATGTGGCATAATCCTCGAGTCAACATGGCCACTTTTTCCAAATATCTCTCAATCCAGGTGTGGTGAACACTTTTGGAAATATTTGGATATGATAAAAGCCTTGTTCAGTAGGTTAAAGATTTAAGAATTATGCTTTAGCACAACTCTAACACCCAAGATACAATATGGATAAAATTTAACTTGGGGAAACAAACCATTGAGGGAATAGAATTGAGATTGCAGAGCCCCCAGGCCAAGTCCTGCCAGCCTGTACCTGCCAACATCCTTACTCCTATCACACCTTATTCATCTGATTCCTGTATCCTCCATGCCCTACTAGCTCAGAGGCCCTCCAGGGGAGCTGAACAGGCTGCCTGCATTCGAATCCCAGCTACACCATCTCCTAGCGCTGCAACTGGGCAAGCTAGCTTAGACTCAGTTTCTGCCTCTATAAAATGGGCATCATCATGCCTGCCCTACTGGATTGTTTTAATGGCTAACATTTGTTAAAACAAATAATGCCTGGGACACAAGTGCCCAATTAGTAGGAGATATGGCAATAAAAAAATGATTATTATCACAACTATCATGAATCCTCTCTTTATGCCCCATGTCTAGCACAAAGGCCGGTGGGTACGCAGTCAATGGGTGGTCAGCAGAGCTGCAGTCAGTGCATTCACTGTGGGCCATCTGGAGCTACACCGCCCACACAGTAGCCGCCAGGTTCATGTGGCTTGGAAAGTGTCTACTCCCAACTAAGATGTGCTGTTAAGTGCAAAATACACACCAGGAAAGTCTTAGTATGAAAAACAGAAAAGTAAAATAGTTTATAATCATTTTTTAAAAAATTTTTTTAAAGATTTTTTTTAAAGGAATCTTTTTTTTTTAAGATTTATTTATTTATATAAGCACTGGGTACAGTCAGAAGCGCGGGAGGGTGAGAGAATTCACCAGAGCCAGAGCGGAGACCAGAACAGGTAGAAGGACCGAAGTACACTGCTGAGGGGAGCAGCAGGTGGCAGGAGAGGTCTGCACGCCACGTGGGACCCTCGCAGGCGGCCGGGGATCGAACCGGCGCTGCAGAGGCTGCAGGCAGCTTCGCAGCCCAGCTCTCAACCGCTGCACCAGCAGGGGAGGCCCATCATTTTTTATTTTGATTATATTTTGAAATGACATTATTTAGCATCTTTTAAGTTAAATAAAATGAATTCTCAAAGATAATCTCACCAACTTACTTTTGCTTCTTTTAAAATGAGACTGTGACGAGATATAAAATGACACATGTCTCCATGATGTGTCTACCAGAGAGCACAGATCTAGGACGTTCTCAACCTACCATTAACATAGAAAATCTCCACACAACCTCATTTACACTCAAATACTTTGTAAGCTTTGGGAGTATAGAATGAATCAAAACAATGATTCATTTAGGATCAAAAGAACATCCAGTAGAGGGCCTCCCCAGTGGCGCAGCGGTTGAGCGCTGGGTTGCGAAGCTGCCCGCAACCTTTGCGGCGCCGGTTCGATCCCCGGCTGCTCCCCGGTCACCGGAGGAGGGTCCCACATGGCGCGCAGACCTCTCCTGCCGCCCGCTGCTCCCCTCAGCAGTGTGCTTCGGTCCTTCTGCCTGCTCTGCTCCCCGCTCTGGCTCTGGTGAATTCTCTCACCCTCCCGCGCTTCTGACTGTACCCAGTGCATGTATAAACAAAAAACAAACAAACAAGCAGACAAATAAATAAATGGAACATGCCTCTATTAAAAAAAAAAAAAAAAAAAAAAAAAAAGAACATCCAGTAGATTCAGGGCAGATTCTCCATGCAGACTAAGGTATAGAAAGGGAGCTAAATCTTCATGGGGATTTTCCAGGTTCGCTGCATCCCTGAGATCCAAGAGTTGCGTCAGTGGCAGAAGAAACTGCGTGAGGACAAGCACATTCGCCAGCGAGTCAAGATTTTCTGGGCCAAACAAGAACAAAAAGGTCAGTTGCTTGATTTACAGTCTTTGGTTTATTCAAGAAAAGTGTGAGGCTTATCCCAGGCTCAAGAGGTTAGGCAGGGGGCTTGTCTGCAAGGAACTCAGTGGGGAGGAAGGAGCTGCGTGTTACCATTTGCTCTGGTAGGACAGGGTGTTGTCATCTTGTTCACACGCCACTCGCTCGGGGCGAACTCCGTGTCTGCCGTCCCTCCATTTTGATAAGCTGGTGTCAATCAGTGTGAGGGGTAGGTATTCTTCTAAGTTGTTGATTAGAACGTAAGTGCTGTTTTGTACTTGTCTTTCCCCCTTTTGTGAGAAATCACACTCGCGCGCTCATGCACACACACACCCCCCCCCCAAGAATAGCATAACAGGTACCCATCCCCGTCATACGCTGTGTCACCATTTTTGTTCTATTTCTTTTTCTCATTTTTTATTTTTTAGCTTCAAGTTACTGCACAGTCACAGTAGAAAAATTAGAAAAGTAGCCAAAGGGACAAGAAACCTGAAATCCTACCACTGTTAATATTTTGGTGTACACCCTGCAACACTTTTCAGCTGAAGAGATGTGCATAAACATATATTCATATTTTATTAAAAGTGGGGTGATTGACACGTGCTGGTATATTCTCGACCTTGTCTCCGGAGCTGACTTGGAGCATCCAGTCGGGTCAACAGCCAGAGTATTTAAGGACTGATGTCAAGGACTGCGTAGTGAGCTCGCGGCTTTATGTATTAACCAATAATGTGGAGACAGATTCAGGATATAATATCAACTGCAGAACCCTGAGTTTTCAGCCATATAAAAAATATACACAGGGGAACACAGAGCTGTCTAAGGGGCCGGGGAGAATTCGTGGAAATTGTTCCCTTTAGGAATTTGGACTAGAGAGGAGGAGGGTGCGCTGTTGGAATCCTCTAAATAATGGCACATAGTCCTTTATGATTATGAAAACCTCTGAAAAAAATAGTTAAATGCCATTCAGTGTTGAACGAGTGAGTGAGTGAATGGAGTTCTGAGGTGTAACTGAGCCAGCGTACAGCGTGCTGACAGTGCCTGCAGCCACCACCAAACTGAACCCCTTGGAAAGAAGCACCCCTTAAAAGGGTCCCTGATAAAGGAGCAGCTTGAGCTGCAATGGTTTGGTGGGCTCAGCCCAGGCCCTGTCCCCTATGCAACTGCGTTTCATTTTATTTCAGAACTGGAAGACAAGCAAAGCTGGAATCAGTTTAAAGTGCAGGCAAAGTGCAGACTATTTATTTCTATTGTTAGCTGTTCTTTTGAGCTGATTTGCTGCTGGTTGACTGATTGGTTTGACTGGCCGTGGAGTAGGGAAAGTGGCCTGGATTAAGCACCCAAATCCAGCCAGCACAGAGGGGCAGTGAGAACACCCCCATCTCAACCCCCTGCTGTTCACACCCTGGTGTCCCTTACTGCCTTGTGAAGGCTGTAGAAGGAGCAGTGCTTCCTGAACAGGCCAAGGTCTTCTGCAAATGCCCCAGTGGACACACAGGCACATTCCCCCTTAACGATGAGACCACGAAATGGCTCTCAGGCCTAAAAGCCCGAGTGCTGAACACTATCCCCAGACCTGTGGTCGGCTACGACATCAAGATAGATCATGGGTAAAGAACTGGGTCCTACCTTTGAGTCCTTTGATCTGTAAACTCTGATCTGGTAAACTCCTTAAGCCTCAGTTTTCCCATGTGCCACATGGGACTAATAATAGTGCCCAACTCATGTTGTTGAAAGCTTGCGAGAGATGATTTTTTTTTTTTAAAAAAGATTTATTTATTTATACATACAAGAGCTGGGGTACTGGCCAGAGATGCAGGGGGTGAGAGGATTTACCAGAGACAGTGGGGAACAGAACAGGCATATTGACTGAAGTACACTGCTGAGGGGAGCAGCGGGTGAGACTGGAGAGGTCTGTTGCGCCATGTGGGTAGCTCCCTTGCTGGGGATTAAACTTGTGCTGCAGAGGCTGTGGATTGCTTCATAGTGTGGTGCTTAACCCCTTGCACCACCAGGGAGGCCCTGAGATGATCTTTAATGAGCCTTGGCTTATATTATATTGATAGTTCCCATAACAGTTATTGTCATTATCAGTATTATTAAAACACTGTCTGCTTGTAAACTATTTTGTGTTCATTTTCTCTGCAAGACCATGGGGGTCTGTGTGGGGACCTTGTTTGTCTGTTTCATCATGTGGCTCCACCCTTAGCACAGACCCAGGCACAGAGCAGGCAGCATATACACACTGGGTCAGTAGAGCGCTGAGCTTCATTTTACAGATGAAGAATTAGAGGGCCAGGAAAGTGGAGGGTTTTGCCCAGGGTCACACAGCAAGGGGAGGTTTGCACAGGGTGTTCTCTTTGTCCAGTTCTAAAGCCAACTTGGAGACACAGAGATAAGATCCTCTCTTGGATTCCACTGTCAGTCCCATATCTCTCAGGAATCCTTCTTAACGTGACACATGGCTTGTTCAATTTCTCAGTGTTCTGGCTTTGTGTTTGCCCTGGGCTGCATTTCAAGGAGCAGGGTATCACCTCCTCCCCCCTGAGTGAAATGGAATTTTTTGTTTCCTGTAAGAATCTGAGCTGAATCATTATGTTAAGCTCACGCACTACAGAGTTACTGCCTGTTTTAAGCCTTGTACATCGGGGTTGTGTGGTTTAGAAAATAAATCCCCAAGGTGACATTGGAATTAGACCTCAAAGACCTCTGAGGAAACAATTTGAAAATGAACATTCAACACATGCTAATTCTCCTTTAGACTTGCAGAAGGACTATGGAGAGATTGCAAATAAAAATGGGTTTTCAACTTCGTCTAAAAAACCCTGCAAATGCGTCTCTGTACAAATCCGGCAAACAAACATATTTTTTGAGGGTATGCCATTTGATCCATATTGCGCCCTGGTATTTATGGCTTGAATACATTTCACCAAGTTCATTTCTTGGAGCAACCTCGGTGCAGACAGAAGGTCTGAGGGAGAGGGAGGTCAGCTGTCGGGGTAGGGTCGTGGTCTCATATAGCCTGTCTCGTGTTACCCAGAGTCAGAAGTGATCCCAGACAGGGTTTTCTTCTAGGACAAAAGTGGTGTGAGGTTATCCTCGAGTCTCTCTCCATCAGGACAGTTGCAGGAATTATTTTTAAACATATGTGGCAAGAATTGCAGCTAATGTAATCCGAAAGGAGAGGCCTGAGTCATTTTCGAGACGTGGTCAAAAATCCCTTCTCGATGAGCAGCATATTTTCAGCTTCATGTAGTCAGTAATTGTTTTCAAATGTGCTTTGTAATTGAATATCCATATTTTATTTGGGAATCTAGTATGAGTAGGGAGAAAAAAACCATGGAAATAGTTCCCATAACATCAGATCGTGTTACACACGCACACACGCGTGCTTGCATATATATATCATAACATCAGGTTCTGTTTCTTCTACCTATTGTGTGTATTTGCATATATGTGTAAATACTCTTTAAATGAATTTATCACGTCTTGGAATTTTGAAGACAGGTATGGGTGAGGTTGACCGGGCAAAGGAAAGAGACTGTTCTTTTGTTTGCTTACCTGTTCATTTCCTACCTCATTCCAAGCGTGGTTTGTAATAGCTTGCAGAAACAGAGAACATTTTTCGGTAAATGTAGTAAGCAGGTTAAGGCAAAGTTAAGAGTAGGAGAAAAATAAAACTATTAGACGCAGTATACAAATTATTTATTTTGAGACCTATATTTGTTTGAAATTTCTTAGAGACCAAGCAAAGAGGGAAATAGGATCGGTTGTGTAATTTAGTGTCCATAAAAAAAAGGCACAACCCAGTTGTCAGGAAACACTGGACCCTCCCCTTACACGTGAGGCAGTGTGAGTAATAACCTCAAAACCCTTCCTCCAATAAATAGAAATAGGGCCCTGGGTTTCGTGGAAGCCACAACAATGAAGAAATAGCATCATTCCTTTGTTTATTGTGTCGCTAGGGTCTAAGAAGTTCCTTGCATGCACAGACACCTGGGGCTGAGATTTTCCCCCCATAGAGAGGACACTGGGGTACATGTCCTGAGCACCGCTCTCTCCCTAAAGACAGTGGCCCATTTCTTAGAGGCATTTGCTTCTAAGATGAAAGCCTAGAGCAGGGGTGGGGGTAGAAACCAGATTTCTTTCCCTGACTCTAAATTTATACTTTAATGATAAACCTTACCTGGTAGGGTTAGATTTTATGGATATTCTTAAAATAAGCACCTCGTCTTGGCCACATCATGGCCTGTGACCTAAAGAAAGGTGGTTCTTAGAGGAGATAAAGATGTCTGGGCCCAAGGAATGCTGCCATTTATCACTCGTGTGCCATGTGCCAGGCACTGTACTAAGCACCCTATGTTTTCCACGGAGCCCTCACTGCTGCTGTCTTGGAAAGAGGATGCTCTCTTTCCCTGTGGGAGAAACATGGCTTACCCAAGGTCACAGAGCCAGTAAGAGCCAGAGACCAGATCTGCTGTAGCCAGGAAACCTATGGCCACTGCATGCCTTATTGTCCAGTTACCTTGTGTGCCTGATAGGGCATACTGGCCTAGCCCAAAGCTTCCCAGCAGAGTACAGGGGACCCAGGGCTAGGAGGCCCTGCCTCCCATCCTACACATTAACACTGACATGGCCACAGGTCACTGGATCATAAGAGGTTTGGGGGCGGGGAGACTGAAGTCTCCAGTCCAAAGGCTACAGGCTCTATAACCTTGTTTCTGGAGACATTTCATTACAACTGGAGGCCTGGGCTTCCTGGGTAAGGTTGAGGAAGTTCTTCTCTCACCTTCCAAATTCCCTGCCCATCTACAGATGAAGAACAGGGAAGTACTTCACCACCAAAGGGGGTGCCCAGGTGCAGGGAACATCCTGGTTTGTGGATCAGGAGTGGGGGGCCTGGCGTTGGTTATGACCAATGAGCCTAACCTGTCACAAAGCAAAAAAGGTCAAATTTCCAGTGACTGCCCCCAGAGACAGCCACTGTTGATTGTGTTAGCCCATAGAGTCTTCTATCCATCCATCCGTGCGTCTATCCATCAGTCCATTCGTCTGTCCATCCAGACACACAGGCATGTGTTGCTTAGCAACAGTGACACTGTCATTAGATTTTGTCATCATACGAACATCATAGAGTAAATGTACTTACATGACATTATTCTACTGGGTACACTTGTTGGGACCACTGTATATTTACAGTCCGCCATATCAAGCCACATCATTAACAGTGCATAACTGTAAATGCACGGATATACATGTCCATATATGTTTATAAACATAGAGTCATAGGTACTACACTACAGTTGGTTTTTATCTCCATTGCGTAACATTTCATTAACATCTTTTCATGCTAGTATATGAGATCGAGTGTACTCTTTTTTTGGTTCCATAAGAATGACAGATCTGTAGCATACTTTTTGGTAACCAATCTCTTTGAGTGGATATTTGACTTGTCTCAGGAGCAACTGTCCATAGACATTTTTGTAATACATTCTTGCTTACCTAATGAAGTGCTTCTGCAGGATTCATTTCCAGCAATGGACGGTGACCACCATGTTGTCACCCCAAAACATGGCAGCAGTTTATACTTAAGGCCACCAAGCTGCTTTGACCTTTGATGGGTGATGTAATCTCTGTGCCTTCTTTTCCTTCCTTGTAAAATGTGTATGTGTATGCCTCAGGAATAATTCTAAATGAGGTCATTGCTTTGATAATACCATGACTCATTAAGAAAAAATTTACCTGTAAATCTAATGTGAAAAACCTAATTTTAATTTTTTTCTTGTTTCTCCTCCAACCTTCATTCTTTCTCCATTTAACCTGGAAAAAAGGACTAAAAAATTGATGAAAAGAAATCTAGTGACTTCATGCCTTGACATTACACTCATCAATTTTATTTCTATGACACACCAGTGGGTAGGATGTTTGGATGGCGTTGACTTTCATACATACCTTTTCGTTTAAAATGTGTATAGATCTGCACAGTTAGGATGTGCCTTCTGTTGAAATGCTGGAAGAGACCGTTCTCCATAAACTGAAGAGTAGAATCAAAGATGCTCTCCTTTCTCTGAACCGTCTTCCCCCAACATTCAAGATCCCAAATTTCAGTTCATGCAAATGATACTTTCAACCTCTTTAGCTTCATCCTTCATTTGATTGTTCAGGATTTATCTTTGCTGTTATGTACATGTAGTGTGTTTTCATAAGATCAAGAAACCTATAAACCTATAGAAGGGATATTGAATAGATTGGATTGAATTTCCCACTTATCAACTCTGTAACCTTGAGCGGCTACCTACTTCTTTGTGACTCCATTTTTTAGCAATAAAATGACATTGTAGATATTACTGATCGCCCCATTGGTTTTTGTGAAATTAGAGGAACCAGCACTGTGCATGACTCATGATCAGTGATCAGTTAAATATTGCTGGTAGTAATGTGTCCAATATTTGGTTAATTTCTGTCATTGCTAAGAATATTGACTTTGGGGTCTGATGGAACTCGGGTCCTGCCCCTTGACTTCTGTGTGTTCAAGGGCATGTTGCTCATCCTCTCAAGCTCCAGACCCACCCCTTCTGTATATGGGTGGGGGGGCAGTTAGGGTTCCTGTGAAGGTTAAATAAGATTAAATGTCATGTATGCTATTAAACAGGCACAGCTGAATGGCCAGTAAGTGGTGGTTAGCTTTCACAATATTTTTTAAACTGTCAAGAAAAATGAACAAAATTATTATTCCAGGTA